GAGGGAAATTCTTGCCCAACAAAACCCAAAATCCAAACTTAACACTAAAAAATAAGTTCTAGTCTTTGGATTCAATGAGTGGGAAATACGTTGTGCCTTTCCCTAGGTGTGATGTGTTGCACCAAAACCTTAGTAGTGCACAGAGGGTGGTTTGAGACTACAAGTCTAGAGCTTACAGAAGTGTGCATTTTGGGGTGGCTGACTCATCCATGGTGTTCCCACTTAGCATTTTGATTAGAATGAACTTGCCAATCAAAAAAAAAAGATAGGACAATCAAGTTGAGAAATAGACCTAAGTATTTTAAAATAAAACCATTGACATTTTACTTTAACTTGGTACCTTGGTTTGTCACAACTGAATGAAGCAAAAAAGTTTGAATCATTATCTCCCATTGTTTTTTATGTCTGCCTCTAAACCAGTGGTTTTCAAACTTTAGCAGGCATTAGAATCACCTCAAGGGCTTGCTAAAAACACTAGTTGCTGGGCCTCAACCTAGAGCAGTGATGGTGAACCTATGACACGCGAACTCATTTTTTTGGTTGATTTTTCTTTGTTAAATGGCATTTAAATATATAAAATAAATATCAAAAATATAAATCTTTTACTATGGTTGCAAATATCGAAAAATTTCTATATGTGACACGGCACCAAAGTTAGGGTTTTTCAAAATGCTGACACGGCGAGCTCAAAAGGTTCGCCATCACTGACCTAGAGCCAAAACTTGGCATTTCTAACAAGTTCCCAGGTGATGCTCCTACGGATGGTCAGGGGACCATACTTTGAGAATCTCTGCTTTAAACCTGGTGGGTGAGCATGGTTATTTGAATTACTGATTGGCAGGTGGTATGTCTGGGCTTCACTCCTGTACTAAATGCTGCTGGTCGATACTTAATCATTCCACAAACATTTATTCAGCTCTGTGTGTATGTGTGCCCAAGCACACATGCAGGAAGGGCTGTAGCCAGAGCAACTTTATCAGCATTATGAAATCACTAGTCCTTATTTGTAAAGATCTTGGAAATAGCTTGAAGGTTGAGAAAGACCTTTGATCTACAATGCAAATTAGCCAGTCATAGGCCAGAAGGACAAAAGTCTAGCCCAAAAATCTAGTTTGGAAAGGCTTAGGGTGTGGTCTGCTGATGGCCAGATAGTCCTTAGCCCCCAACATCCATGCCACACCAGGCAGATCCTCATCCTCTACATGACCATCTCTGTTACTTTTGGGGGCTTAGATTACAGGAGGCCAAAATCTCTTCTCATCAAGAATCACATTGGCTTTTTAGTTGTTAGTCTATGCTGCAGCTTTGTTCCTAGTCCAAACTACCTCTATAAAGTGACTCTTCAATGCTGGTGTGTTAAATCCTGCCCTCCTTGGTGCTAGACTCCACTTGTGCCTCAGGGCAGAAGAGAGGACACAGCTATCCAGTTGGCCTTTGTTGTGGTTGTAAAGTTTGTACTTTCTCTGTGGGTACAGTTAAATAGTGGAGTGAGGAATGTGTAGTTCCATGGGTTTGAACGAAGAGAGGGTTATGAGCCTACTGGATCGAGATTAAAACCTAAGAACCAACGCTTTGTGCTTTTCTCTCATTCCAACCCCTTGTAGTGCTGATACTTAGCATGAGCAGAGTGAATGACTGGTACTGACAGAGTCCAACATTAAGGTATATGTAGCCTGTTATTGTCTCAGAAGCCAAGGAATAACAAAACTTTGAAAAATAAAATAATATTTCGTAGTGACCCTGGTGCTCTCTAGAAATCTTGGCACGAGCTGCTATAAAATAACCTTTTAGGAACAGGACCTTATAATTAAGGTAAAAAAAAAAATCAAGGCCAGTTAAGACAAAGTGCTATGAATTTGAAACTGGGCTAGGTCTTCAGATAGTCAAGATAGAGTCTCCTGAAAAACCTGAATTCCAGCAATTCTTAGACTAGGTTGCCAAAGCAAGAAGCTAATGAAGGAGAAAAATAATAATAAAGTTTAAATTCATTCTTTCTTGAGCTCTTGATTGTGATAATATAATAATCTTGTTGACTTTCATTTCTATATCCCTGTTCATTTGAAATTTTAGTGCCTGACTTCTTTGTTCCTTTTGGATCCAAATTACTCTTTTCCTCCTTCCCTGTTCAAATCTTTTAGAAGCCTGTATCCCTATTTCTTTGGCACCTATTTTGCTCTCCATTTCCTTTTTCTGTCTTTCATAACTAGAAGATAACATCTTTTATCCCATATATCCAATTTATCAAATCTCCCTTGCCTTCCTGATGTAGAACATTGCCTATGCAATAGATATAGATACCAACCAGGAGTTGTAAAACTTGGTAGAGACCTTAAGCACGTTTTGAGGAGCAGTTGTCCACTGGGATTTCTATAAAGTTGGGTAAAGGGCTATCTGGTGCCATCTGCAATTATAGAATCTTAGTTGCGCTCTCCAGTCTATGCTGGAGGAACACTCAGCTCCTCAAAGCCCACAAACTTCCTCTGTGTCCATCGGGGAAGTAGAGATTAAGGTTTCCTCGCTACTTCTATGGTAGGATAGTCTGGAATTCCCGTTCAGGCTGTGGGGCACTGGTCTTGAGTTCTAGCCATAAAGGGTTAGGAGCTGGAAGGGGAGGGAGCAGGAGGTACACTTTCATGTCATTTAATTTTGATCCTGCCCTTCCCCGCTGCTTCTTTCAGAAGATATATCTAAAGATACAAAGTCTGCATTTGATGTAATGCCTTAATTACTGGGTCCACAGTTAATGTTGACTGTTTTAGATTGTAAGCTCCTGGAGAGCAGTATTGCTACAGTAGGAATGTTTTAACAGTGTCGTGTACAAAAGAAGAAAATAAATATTTTGATTTTGTGATCCTATGCATGTTCTTTTACCCAAAGTGGTATCAGAAAACGTGGTCTCTTATTGTGCACACAGTGTCTTGGCCATTACCATGTTTTTAAGATGTCAGTTTTAGGTGGCATGGTCCCTGTTTTCATATCATTCTCCTCCTACTCTACTCAAAATGACAAGCTAGTCCATGATGCAGCTACATGGACTTTTGTACAGATGAGCTTCCTGAAGCCGCAAATATCTCAGTATACCAAGAATTCCCAAATTTAAAAGCTAACTTGTCCTATCAGAAATCTCCTCCCTATATTTATGGTGTCAGGCAAGAGGCTCTGAGTTGGGCCTCTAGGAACTTCACTGCTGAGCCTGGGCATTGGCCGTGCCTAACCCTTTGGTAATGCGAGAATCCTGGTGTTATTTGCCCTTCCTACTGGACCCCAGATGGCCACTTTGCCATTCAGCACCACTTCCAGTCTTTTCCATAGTACAATATGATGAGCATGGACTTTGTGGAGTCAAGTGTACCTGGGTTTGGGTCCTGGCTCCACCACTTTCTAGAAATGTGACCTTCAGCAAGTTATTTTAATAATCCCTAAGCCTTAGTTTTCTGTTATAAAAAGGCAATAATAGTATTTGTTTGAATTAGGAGCGATATGTATAAAGCCCCTTATAGGCATCCAAGCCATAGTAAGTATATATATAATTACTGTTTATTTCCTGTCAACTCCCATCCAAATATAATCTCCCTAAGAGCAGGGATTTTCTTTTTTGTCTACTTTGTTCACTGCTCTATCACTAATTTCTAGAAAATGCCTGACACCTTGGAGGAACTCAGCCAATATTTTTGTCATATGAGCTTGGAATTGAACTAGATAGAATGAATACACTGCTCAATAATTTACAGTATCCTCTGTAAGGAACTCACAAAACTAAAAAGATAAAAGAGCCCTGACCGGTTTGGCTCAGTGGATAGAGCATCAGCCTGTGGACTGAGGAGTCCCAGGTTCGATTCCAGTCAAGGGCATGTGCCTTGGTTGCGGGCACATCCCCAGTGGGGGGTGTGCAGGAGGCAGCTGATCGATGTTTCTAACTCTATCCCTCTCCCTTCCTCTCTGTAAAAAATAAAATATATTTTTTTTAAAAAAGATAAAAGAGTAATAATAGCAACAATGATAGTTGTTATTTATCCAGCACTTGTTATGGACCAGTCATGGAGCTAAGTTCATTTCACTGTTTCATTCCATTTCCACAGTCCTTTTAGATATATATTATCTCCATCATATTGATAAGACAAAGGCTCACAGAATTTAAATCATTGGCTCCAGATAATACAGAAGAAAGTGACTGTGCTAGAATTTCAGCTCAAGACGCTTTTCACTCCACAATCCATGATTTTTAATCTTTTAGAGAATTTTCCAAACATATACAAAAATAGAAAAAAAAATCATGTTATGAATCCCTCTGCACCCACCACTCAGCTTCAATCAACAATGATAAATCCACAGCCAACTTGGTTACCAGAGTCCCTTGCTATATGATCAAATAAGTGGAATAGAAAATTTACTCCTTATGAGCAGAAAAGCAGAATTCTACACACAAGAGTAGCTTGGAAAGCCCTCATGAGATCTGCTTTGGTTAAACTCTCCTTTCCCTCCTCCCCACCAGCTGACCACCCAGGCTTCATGTGAAACCCCAGGGGATGGAATACTCAATGCCTGTTCTGTTACTATGCTCAGGAAGTGTGAGGCCTGATTCAAAGGAAAACTGCATGAGAAGAATCAATTTACTAAGTGTATGTGCTTTAATTACAGAAAAGGAAAAGTTTCCACTAAGCCTCCAAGGAGTTTGGGGGGTCCAGAGGAACAAGTTCAGAATGGAAGATCAAATTTACACATAATCACTAAAATCTAATCTCCACAAGGGTAGGGATCTTTGTTGATTTTGTTCACTGATGTTACTAAGTGCCTAGAATGGTACCTGGCACATAGTGGGCACTCAATAAATACTTGCTGAATAAATGAGTTAAATGAAAGTCAGTCATAAGGATGAAATGGAAGTGTTCTGTGCGCAGGGTCTTTTCAGAAAGATGGGAAGAATGACGTCACCTCTGTAGCAATTACCTTTTAAAGTCTGGGTGTTAATTGTACTATTATACTTCATTAAGGATGTCTCATACTTTTCCAAAAATATATTTATTTTTAAAATTGAAAATCAGACAAGTTTTATAGAGTCAAATTCTCCAGAGACAAACCAGAGTTTGGATTTCAGTAATCTCATGCAGAAGTATTTCCCTCTGCAGGAGGTAAAATATTCTGCTTGACTACAAGCACTCGATTCCCTGAACTGCGTTTGTACTTCTGCCATCATTTTACACCATTCCAGGGCTCTGGCAAGCAAGAAAATCCACCTCTAAAATTCAAAACTTCCAAATTGAGATGAGCGATTGTTGGGCTTGGCTTGGGGTTTATAACCAATTCGATCATTAATCATCTGTTCCCGGTTCTTGGGGTCACTGCTGAGCCCTATGGCACCTTCTCCATCACTGCCTCCTACAACATCCACATCTTCCTTTTGTTTCTTACGGGTCTGAAAGTATAAAAGTTTTAGGATTAAGGCAACATTCTTTCCATTAGCAAATACTTATTTGGCACCCACCATGTACTTGGCATAGGGTAAAGGAGAGAATTAGGGTCTATAGAACAATAAACTGAAATCCTGGGTTTGGATGGTTAGGAATATAAGGCATATAGCAGTCCCTCCTTACCTGTGGTTTTGCTTTCAGAGGTTTCAGTTACCCATTATCGACCAAGGTCCAAAAATATTAAATGGGAAATTCCAGAAATTAGGAATTCTTAAGTTTTAAACTGCATGCCGATCTGGAACATGAATTCTCCTTTTGTCCAGCATCTCCAGCCTGTATATGCTACCCACCTCTTAGTCACTTAGAAGCAGCCTCAATTATCAGAATGACTGTTACAGCATCTCTGTGCATGTGTTCAGGTGACCATTATAGTGGTCTAATGCTATGTCACATTGCCTGTCATTCACCTCACTTCATTTCATCACATAGTCATTGTATCATCTCACATTATCATTGTTAAGAACAATAAGCTATTTTGAGAGAGACTACATTCACATAATTTTTACTATAGTATGTTGTTAATCTCTAAATGTGCCTAATTTATAAATTAAACTTTATCATTAGTATGTATGTATTGGAAAAAACATAGTATACATAGGGTTCAGTACTATCCCGTTTCAGGCATCGGGGAGCAGGGGGAGGGGGGGTCTTGGAACATATTCCCCTGCAAATAAGCGAGGACTACCACATGATGATAAAAGATATAACTCATACCCAGGAGGTCACACTCTAAGGAAACAGGTAGACAATTACAACATAGGGTGATCTAAGCTATCACAGAGGAAAGCCACACTGCCAAAGACACAAAGAAGAGGTGAGGTGTGAGGAGTGAAGGTTCAGAGCAAGAAGCTGCAATTAGAAAGATGAGCAAGAGTTGACAGAAAAGGGGGAGAGAGAGATGTTTCAGTAAGTGTATTATTCAAGACTAGAGCCCCCCACAAAAAAAAATAAAATAAAATAAAATAAATAAAATAAAATAAAATAAAAAAAGAAAAGAAAAAAGATTAGAGGCCCAGTGCACAAAATTTGTGCATGGGTAGGAACCCTAGGCTGCCGACTGCCAGCTGGGGCCTCCCTTCCCTAGCTGCCAGGCGGGTCCTTCCTTCGTTCCACGCCGGCCCCTGGTGGTCAGCACACGTCATAGCGAGCGATCGAACTCCGGGTCAGTGGAACTCTTGGTTGGTTGAACTCCCAAGGGGACACTTTGCATATTAGGCTAGATTAGATAGATAGATAGATAGATAGATAGATAGATAGATAGACAGACAGACAGATAGATAATAAATGGAAAAATAAAGTGACCGGTAAAACAATAACCACCAGAAATTAAGAGCTTGACTGACATCATGAGATTAAATGTAACACAGGAATAGGTTTTGTGCTGTCTTATCAAAAGGCTTGGGGTTTCATTTTGTTTTCAGAGAAAAGGTTTAGTTCTTATATCATAAGTGACTGCAGAATTCACAAAATCTATGTCTCAGTTTGACCATTTTAAAAGAGATCCCATTACTACCACTATGTAATTAAAGATAACAGATGATGATGACTTTCTTTGAGAATGAACATGTTTTATCTAGACTTCCTTACTAGAATTGCTCGACTACTCTAATCACTGGAATTACTTCCATACCTCACCACTTACTGATGAACATTTAAATAATCAAATAAGGTACACACACACACACACAGAGGGTGGGGCAAAAGTAGGTTTACAGTTGTATGTTTATTCTTATAAATTATTGTTTTATTTTCCGTATGAACAACTGTAAACCTACTTTTGCCCCACCCTGTATATATAGATAAATATGATTTCTCTGAGTTACTCTCTAGTCTGCCCTACCAATAAGAAGCATTAGAAAGTTCTCCCCAAATAACTTTTTGACCACAGTTCTAAAAGGCAAAGAATGTTATCATTTTATAAGCCATGAGAAACTCTGAGACTATCCAAATGGAATGAAATAATTTAAAGGGCTTTCCACCATGAACAACTGCTGACTGTTTTGAATCCAGAGTCATCAAATGTAATCAAACTGATTTCAACAAGAAATGAAATACCAATTTCCTTCTGCCTTCATTTCAGTTAAGGGCAAAACTATCCTTCCCACCTAAGTTGCTCTAGAACAGGTAAAACCCTCTGGATACTGCCTTTAGTAAAAAGACTAACTCAATAGTGAGCTGACTTTGCAGAGTCAAAGTTCAGTATGCTAGCACTTTATGGCTTAGAAAAACTAAAGTCTCTGGGATGAGGAAGAGGGAAAAGAAATCCAAGTTACAGGCTGGGAGATGAGTCCCCTGTGATACAGATCAAAGAAGGGCAAAGTCAGAGGACTTATCTGAGAACAGGCCAACGATCAGCATAACTATCATACCACTAGAGGCCTGGTGCACGAAATTCGTGCACTCGGGGAGAGGTAGGGGGGGTTCCTCAGCCTGGCCTGTGCCCTCTCGCAGTCCAGGATCCCTTGGGGGATGTCCAACTGATGGCTTAGGCTCGCTCCCTGTGAGGAGTGGGCCTAAGCTGGCAGTTGGACATTCTTAGCGCTGCCGCGGAAGCGTGAGAGGCTCCTGCCACTGCCACTGCGCTCACCAGCCATGAGCCCAGATTCTGGCTGAGCAGCGCTTCCCCTGTGGTAGCACACTGACCACCAGGGGGCAGCTCCTGCATTGAGTGTCTGCCCCCTGGTGGTCAGTGCACATCATAGCAACTGGTCGTTCCACCGTTTGGTTGATTTGCATATTAGCCTTTTATTATATAGGATTCTCTCCCCTAACACCATTACCAATAATTCCTTAATGTAATCTAATACCCGGAAATAAAATTTTAAGTGTTAAAAAAAAGAAGCATATACAATAGGTAGTAAAGCCACCATGTTCATGGACATGTATAAAATATGTCCTCTGCCATATAGTACAAAATATCTACTAGAATAACAAATGAAAATACACTTATATTGAGCACCTCTTTGGGCCTGGTATTGCAGGGGACAGATGCAAAGAAGAATATACTCATTCCTGCCTTCAAGGAGCATATGGCCTAGTGGAGGGAAACAGAAAAACAGATAATTATGACAGTGATAGTACCTAAGAAAGAGGTCAGCAAAGGAGGAAGAGGTTGAACCTAACCCTACTGGGGTAGGTAGTCAAGAAAGACTTCTGGAAGGAGCCGAGTCAAAGGATGAGTAAAAGCCCAGCTGGCATGGCTCAGTGGTTGCATGTTGACTTATGAACCAGGAGGTTACTGTTCAATTCCTGGTCAGGACACATGCCTGGGTTGGAGGCTCGATCCCCAGTAGGGGGAGCCCAGGTGGCAGCCGATCGATGATTCTCTCTCATTATTGAAGTTTCTATCTCTCTCCCTCTCTGAAATAAATTAAAAAATATATATTTTTTTAAAAAAGTAAAGATGTTTTTTAAAAAATGAGTTAGCTCTGCAAAGAAAGGCAAAGGGCACTTCAGAGTGTGCATAGGCACTAAGAGTAAAGTTAAAGATAACTCAGCAGTGAAAGATAAAGTGGAGAGATGAGCAAGGGCATTGTATGCCATCCTAAGGAGTCTGGACTTTATTCTGAAGGACACTGAAGAATTTAAGTCTTATTAATGCACATCTAATACTGTGGGGTAAGGCTACACTTAAAAATACACACTGAGCCCAGCTGGTATGGGTTCAATTCCCAGTCAGGGCACATGCCCAAGGTTGCCGGCTTGATCCCCAGTAGTGGACATGCAGGAGACAGGCTATATACAATGAGTTTCTCTCTCATTGATGTTTCTCTCTCATCGATATTTCTCTCTCTATATCCCACTCCCTTCTTCCCTCTCTAAAAAATAAAAACATTTTTTAAAAATACATATTGAGCTCCAACTATGTACTAGATCCTGGGAACTCAATAGTGAGAAAGATAGACATGATTTCTACAATCAAGGTTGCTAATGTAAATGGTTTTACAAAAAACAAATCATTGTGAATTATAATAAATGCTACAAAATCAAAGAATAAAGTGCTTTGAGAGACCCTAATGAGATGGAGCCAGCATGGCTAAGAACGACACACCTAAGTTGGACAAGGTCAGAAGAGGCCTCACAGGCTGAGGAAGTGACATTTAAACAGAGACATGAAGAAGGGATGCACTGGGGCAGAGGGAAATAACATGTGCAAAGGCCATGCTGATAAATAGTTTTGCATGTTCAAGGAAATGTAAGAAAGCCAGTGTGACTGGGGTACAGAGGGCAAAGGAACAAGTGGCAGGAAGTGAAACCTGAGAGAGGCTAGAACATATAAAATCTTATAGGCCATAAAGAATTGAGATTTTATTTTCAGTGTAGCAAACTATTGAAGAGTTTTAAGCAGGGGAATGACATGATCTTAACATTTTTAAAAATCATTCTAGCTACCTAATGGAGAATGGATTAAAGAAACAAAAAATAGAAGTAGAAAAACCACTTAGGATGCTACTGAAATTGTACAGAGAGATGGTTACCTGGAGTAGGGTTGTAACAGTGGAGATAAAAAGATATAGGTAGCTTCTAGAAATATTCTGGAGGTAGAATCAAAGGGTTTACAGACAAATTGTATATAAAGGATGGGGAAAAGGAAGAACTCAAGAGTGACTCCTAGGGTTCTGGCTTGAGCAAATGCATAAGTACTGAGATGCGGAACACTGAAGTGAAACTAGCTTGAGAAAGACATCAAGAGTTTTTTTTGTTTGTTTTAACATGTTAAGTAAAATGAGCTAATGAACCCTAAAGCTATCAGGTCCTACCCCCAGGAATCTATAAATGTTGTCTTACATGGAAAAAGGATCTCTGTCGGTATAATTAAATTAAGGATCCTGAGATGAGGGCATTATCCTGGATTATCTGAGTAGGCCCTAAATGCTATCACAAGTATCCTTATAAGAGGGCAAAGGAAGATTTCACAGACAGAAGAGGAGAAGGCAGTGTGATCACAGAATCAGAGATTTGAATGATGCAGCCACAAGTCAAGCAATGCCAGTGACACCAGAAGCTGGAAGAGTCACCCCTAGAGCCTCTGGAGGGAGCACGGTCCTGCTGAAACACTGCTTTTGGTGGAGACGGATGTCAGATTTCTGGCCTATAGAACTGTGACAAAGTAAATTTCTGTTGTCTTAAACCACCAAGTTTGTGGTAATTTGTTTCAGCGGCCACAGGAAACTATGACATGGAATTGGAGGTGCCTGTAAAAGCATACAAATAAGCTGTTGATATGAGAGTCTGGAGTTAGAGTTATTGTTTCAAATAGTCCTAAGGGTTTGAAAGTTACACTCTTACCTCCAAGTCCTTCCGAATGCTTTCAAACTCTTCAATGTCATCAAGCTTCAGCTCTAGGCGGGTTGGTTTTCGTCGCAACATACTGAAGTCAACACCAAGGGCCAGACCCACTTAACTATTAGCTGTTAAAAATGGCAGAAAGGAGGAAAAACTGGAGGGGATAAATCTCAGCTGCGAATATAAGATCAATTTGTAAGCATGCACACTAAACTGAATGACAATCAAAAAACTCATTTGGATTCACACATACACGTCTAAGTCTCTAGGTGTCTGAACATACGTTTTTCTGTTTGTTTATTTTTTTAAATCTTTATTGTTGAAAGTATCACGTCTCCTTTCTCCCCCCATTGATTCCTTCTAGCCCACCCCCACCTCCCACACCAGGCCTTCATCATCCTATTGGCTGTGTCCATGGGTTATGCATATTTGCATAGAAGTTCTTTGGTTGATCTCTTTCTACCCACCCCAGCCTTCTGAGATTCGACAGTCTGTTCTATGCTTTTATGTCTCTGGATCTATTTTATTCATCAGTTTATTTTGTTCATTAGATTCCATATAGGAGTGAGATCAGTGACACTTGTCTTTCTCTGACTGGCTTAATTCGCTTAGTATAATACTCTCCAGGTCCCTCCATGCTGTCTCAACACACGTTTTTATTATAAGATGGAGATCCACAACTCTAATTCCAAAACACTCTTCAGGAACTTAAAATAGCAAGCTGCCTATATAAGAATTCTAGGCAACAGTCATTTTAATCTCATGCTCCAGTTACATTCAAAGCATTTTCTAGCTAACAGAATAACGTTCAAATATCACATCTTAATTCAGCAGTGTTAGTGGGAAAATACACAAGTTATTAAATTTGATCAACTCTACATGAGAATTGTGAGAGGTCTGTGATCACTCCTGAATACTAAAATCAGTTTACTAAATCTCCCTCTAACTCACCAATTCACAGGGTTATCCTCAGGGTCTAAATAGATCCTAAATAGATAGGTCATTCATTAAACAAACACTTCCAGCTGCAGGTAAAAGGCACAGTCACAGTCTGTGGAGAAAACAAACACGTAAACAGAAAACTGCATAGTGTACTAAGAATGTTGACGAGGATAATGCAATGGCATCACATAGGCCCAATCCACTCTGGGTTAAGTGTAGGGTTGACAGTGACATGGAGGACTTTTTGGAGGAGATGATGTCTTAGTTAACTTGTGAAGGGCAGGCAAAGAACGAGGATTAAGGGCATGCTAGGCAGAGAGAACAAGGACCCAAAGGGGCTCAAGAGAACACTCGTCTGAAAACCCCAGGTAGTGCTTATGCTAACAAAAAACATTTTTGGGAGAAAAAAATAAAACTCCCCACTGAGTTTAAAATCTATTGATGGCATCACCTTTATATTTTCCACAGCATCCAATAAGGTGTATCTATAATAATCAGGCAGTAATGTTTAGTTGAATAAACCAGAGATCCAAATAAAGTGAAATGATTTTTCCTTGAGCATTGTGCTATGCTTTTCCATTCTCATTCCTTACATTTTTAATTTAACACAAAATCCCTGTGATGCTGGCAAAATTATCCCTATTTTACAGATGAAGTCAACGCTGTTAAGTTTGGTAAGCCTCCCATAAAAATTACACAGAGGTTACCTGGTGAGGATTAAATGAGAATGAGAATAAATTGTTATCATGTATCTAGGATGTAGCTAATGGCTGTGAAGTATACAAAGAAAAAATGTTTCCTTCTCCCTCATGAAAATTGGGGTACAGGTGATAATCTATAATAAAAGCGTAATATGCAAATTGACCAAACGACCGAACAGCAGAACGACCGTCCAGACGATCAAGCTATGACACGCACTGTTGCCAGGCCAGTCAAGGCGAGTGAGATGCGATTGGCTGGAGGTCCGCCATCGCTCCATGATTGCCCCGCAGAGGGTGGTGGCGGATGTGGGCAGCGCCATGGCAAGGCAGGTGCGGGCAGGGGGGCGGGGGCCCAGCTGCCAGGAGTTGAAGGGAAGCCCAGGTGCCAGCAGCTGGAGGGAAGCCAGTGCCGGTGGAGGGAAGGCCTACCCTTGTACAAATTTCGTGCATCGGGCCTCTAGTATCAACATAAAATACGAGCATGTCGTATTTCAAATTGCTTTGTACTAAGTCTGATATTATCTTGATTCCAATGTAGATAAATGATAGAGGGAGCAAAGGTCTGGGGAGCAATGCTTAAAAGGAAAACATTGGCCCCACCAGCGTGGCTCAGAGGTTGAGGTCTCAGTCTGATTCCCAGTCAGGGTACATGCCAGGGTTGCTGGCTCAATCCCCAGTGTGGGGCGTGCAGGAGGCAGCTGATCAATGAATGATTCCCTCTCATCATTGATGTTTCTATCTATCTCTCTCTCCTTCTCCCTTCCTCCCTGAAATCAGTAAAAATATGTTTCTTTTAAAAATTAAAAAAAAACATTTCTTTGCACTCTTCTCTCTTCTGCAAATTGAAAAGCTTGCCACTAAGGAGCAGTATAGAGCAATGGATAAAAGTAGGAAAAGGGCAGGGTGTTCTAATACCATCCACTGCTTATCTTGAACAATTAGCTTCATCTTTCACTAGATCTTAATTTCCATATCGGCACTCTGTTATTGTATGGACTGAGTGACGGAATGCAGACTACGTTCCTGGAATATAACTTGCCATTCAGTAAACTCTGAATTAGAGTGTTTTACAGCCCTGGCTGGTTTGGCTCGGTGGATAGAGCGTCAGACTGTGGATTGGAGGGTCCCGGGTTCGATTCCTGTCGGGGGGCACACGCCCGGGTTGCGGGCTCGATCCCCAGTTGGGGTCGTGCAGGAGGCAGCCCATCAATGAGTCTCTCTCATCACTGATGTTTCTATCTCTCTCTCCCTCTCCCTTCCTCTCTGAAATCAATAAAAAAATATTTTTAAAAAAAGTGTTTTACAGTTTACAGCCATTATTACAGTAACTGTCCTTGTGGAGAGGGGCGGGAAACACCTGACATTTTGAGCATCTGCACCATCGACAAGAGGCTTGACTTTTTCAACTCTGATGCCCAGCACCCAGCCGGACACAGGGCCATGCGGAGTTGTTTGCATGTACCTGACGCCTCCCACCCATCATCTCACTCGGAGCCTGAGGACAAAGACCGGGCTGAAGACGACGAAAGCAGGCCGCGGCTCCTCCGCCGGGTTTGTATGTTACTTTGGCGCTAGCGGGCTCCTGGAGCTTAATCTCTCGCCGCTGCCCGAATTCACCAGCTCAAAGGGAGCCCCCGGGAGAGAACTTCCAGACACCAAGAAAGGCTCGCCCGCGGCAGGTCCAGGGCAACACTCACCGGTCCGGCGCAAGGGTTTCCATGGCAACCTGGTCCCCGGATCCAGGACAACGGAAAGCCGCTGGCAGAGCCGAGAGGAACGGCCCCCGGAAGCCCTCGATCCGCTCCGGAGTCCAGCCCGAAGCCGTGCGACTCGCCGCACCTACCGCCTCTCAAGCCTGCTCTGCCCCTTCCCGGAGCCTCGGCGCCCACCACGGCTTCCGCTCAGCCGACTGCGCTCCACGCCCCAGCCCGCCCTGAGCCAGAGCCTCTCCTCGCAGAACCTCGGCCTCCGCGCACGTTTCTCGGAGGCTCCACGGGTCACCCCTCGCGACGCGCCCACAAGCCTTCCTTCCTTCCCACTACGATTCCCAGCGTGCTCCACGCCGACCCCGACGCTGCGTCGCTCTCGACCCACTTCCGGTCGGTGACGCAGTTCCGCTCGGCTGGGCGCGCGGTGGATTGTCTGGGAAGCAGAGCCCGGCTGTGGCTGGGGTTTCGCGGCTCCTGAGCCCGGCATGGCTTCCACACGAGCTTCCTCCACGGTACAGATCTCCGCTCACCCTGGCAGGGGGCACCGCGGGGCTTGGGGGTCCCTGCGGGACGGGGCCTCGAGGGGTCGGGCTCAGTCCGTGGAGGGCCGGGGAGGAAGGCGGCGAGCCTGGGTCTGGGCTCAGCGGGCTCCGTCTTCCTGATGCCTGAGCGCTTTCATGTGCGGGAGCTCATGTGCCCCCCTTGTGCAGCCGCGAACGGTCAATGCGTCTTCCGACGGGTCCAGAAACGGAGCTCTGAAAGGGAGCAGCGCCCTGGCCAAGGCTTACGTCATTGTCAGACTTGTTCACAATGAGGCCTCCTCACGTCAGAGGAACATTCCCCCTTCACATCGGGGTGGTTATTCCATTCACCCTTTCTACTTCCCCTGTGATGAGCAAGAACCCTGGAAGCTCCATAAAACCCGAGAAGGGATTGCACTCCAGCCAGATGAATTAAACATGCTCCAAAGCAAACCTATGACAGGAAAAGCGCCAAGAGAAATTAAGTAGTTTTATCAGCCTCTTCCTGCCTGAGATACTGAACAGCCCCTCCTCCCGCCCCATCAATAAAGACACCTTTTTTTTTTCTTACCCAAGGACATTTTTTCACATTCATTTTTAGAAAGAGTGTACGGGAGGGAGGGAGAGAGAGAGAGAAACATCGATGTGAGAGAGACACCTCTACTGGTTGCCTCCCGCACGCGCCTGACTAGGGCCAGAATCTAACCAGCAACCCAGGAAAGGGCCTGGACCGGGGATCGAACCCCAGACCCTTCGGCAGGCGAACGTGTACGGAAGTGCCCTCCGTGTTCTTTCCTTTAGGGAGGGAATGCAGCTGAAACTCAAGATGAGCTTTGTTCTTTAGGGAAGCCTAGTAAATGGCTGAGATTACGCCGTAAATTAATCCAGGTCTTTGATTTAGCAGGCAACCAAAACCAAGGCACCTGATGACTTAGTCGCGCCTGTTGTGAAGAAACCACATATCTACTATGGAAGTTTGGAAGAGAAGGAGAGGGAGCGTCTGGCCAAAGGAGAATCTGGGATTTTGGGAAAAGAAGGACTTAAAGCCGGAATTGAAGCAGGAAATATTAACATAACCTCTGGTAAGATGCAAATTGTGAGTCCCTCTTTGTCTTTGGTGCTCAAATTTTCTGCGATGATGCCTTCCTAAACTTAGATTATCACTAGTTTTTTTAGTGTCAACATTTTTCTGTTTTTAAACTGATATCTGTAAATGGTCATACTTTGCCTACTCTGCTTAGTGTCATCCAGAGAGCCTCTTGCTTAAAACCTGTTGAACAGTTTTTCTCTCATGAATTGTTAGGAATTTTACCAGGAGTTACTCAGTGTGTATAACTGACCCATAAACAACATATTTTTAACTGTGTGGGTCCACTTATATGTAGATTTTTAAATAAATACTGATGTATTTTTCTTTTTTTTCTTTTTTTTTCCTTTTTTATTGCTTGAAGTATTACAAAGGGTACCACACATGTCTCCCCTTTTCCCCTGCCCTTGACAATCCCCCGGCCTCCCCTACCCCCCAGTGTGATGTATTTTTCTTATGGTTTTCTTAATATTTCCTTCTCTAACCTTTATTGTAAAAATACAGTATATAATGCATATAACATACAAAGTATGTGCTAATTGACTGTTTATGTTGTGGGTAAGGCTTTCAGTCAACAATAGGCTATTAGTAGTTAAGTTTTGGGGGAAGCTATTCTGGAGATCAAGCACAATTCTGGCATTGGTTTGGAATTACTGTGGTTCACAGTAATCTGTTTATAGTTTTCCATTTATTTTTCTCCCAAAATGAAATTTTAAAACATGCTTTTATTGATTTTAGAGAGACAAAGGGAGAGGTGGGGAGAGAAACATTGATCGGCTGATTCCTGCATGCACCCTGACTAGGAATCGAACTGGGGACCTTCTGGTGCACAGGATGATGCTCAACCACTGAGCCACACCAGCCAGGGCAAAATATTTCTTAAATTGTAAAAATAATGCTCTGCCATTATTTGCTCAGTTGGTTGGAACGTCCCGTCCCGTACACCAGAAGGTTGTGAGTTCGTTTCATGGTTGGGCAAATACGGGATGTTTCTTCCTCACATCAAATCAATAAAAAAAAATATCCTCGAATGAGGATGAAAACAAGTGTGTATATGGACACACACACACACACATATAATTTTGAAAAAAAATGTGGAAATATGTGAAGTAGAAAAATCTTTAATCCTTATTAATTGGGTCTATATCTTTCCAAGAATTCAAACCTATAAAAATATAGAATTTTTTTTCCCATAAATGAAGCCATGATATACAAATTGTTTTAGAACCTGTATTTTTCACTCTTGAGGATACCTTTCTATGTCAGTAACTGGTGGCCCATTATATTTTAAAAATTAACTTGTGATGTTTGTAATATATTCAAACAGTATAAAATGAAAAGACTTCTCTGCAGAAAGAACTTCTGTCAAGTTTCTCATTGATCCTCCCATGTGTTTTTTTTCTATACACATGTACTTTAGTGACTTTTTTAGCCTTTTATGCTGATTTAAACATAACTGCTTCACCACTATGCTTACCATTTTTTATCCAAATGCTTGTATTTGGTGTGGGTTTTTAAACTACCTGCTAGTTTATTCAGATAGCCTTGCAGTCAAGGAATATCATTTTCATGGTAATTATTTCCAATTTACTTTCATTTGTAAGTGTCTCCATACTGAGACCGTTTTAGAGAGTAGCTTTGGCAAGTGTTAAAATAATGTTTCTATTATGTCTTTTGGATAGGAGTCCTAGTTAACTCATTTGCTAAAGATGCTCCATACTCTTTACTTTATTTCATCTAAGCTATGTGTTTATATAGGTACTAGAGGCCCAGTGCATGAAATTCGTGCACTTGGGGAGGGGGGGTCCCTCAGCCTGGCCTGTGCCCTTTCACAGTCCGGGAGCCCTCGGGGGATGTCTGACTGACGGCTTAGGCCCACTCCCTGCCTATGTGTATAATAGATGCCCTTAACTTGAACTAAGGGCATACACAAACTCCAAATGTAAGAAATGTTTTCATTTTCCCTATTTGAAGAAAATCTGATGATTATGCTGATGTTGCCTGTTCTTTTTACAGGGGAAGTGTTTGAAATTGAAGAGCACATAAGTGAGCGACAGGCCGAAGTGTTAGCCGAGTTTGAGAGAAGGAAGCGAGCGCGGCAAATCAATGTTTCCACAGACGACTCAGAGGTCAAGGCTTGCCTTCGAGCCTTGGGGGAGCCTATCACACTTTTTGGAGAGGGTCCTGCTGAAAGAAGAGAAAGGTGCCCTTTCTAAATACTCTTCTTCTCTTTTAATCACAGGGTTCAAGTTCCAAATTTCAGTTATTTATAGCAAAAATTTTAATGGAATGTCTCAGATGTTCTTAACAGAATATCTTAAGTTGTGTTTAGATAGTTTAACCCATAACCTGAGTCTAAGGCCAATTTTTACTCCGCTACTAATTTTTCTTTATAAACTGTGAAGAAGGTGTTAACATGCTCCCTTTTCCTCTCCTCTCCCCAATGTGGAATTTTGAGTTGGATAAACATTTGTAGTAAAACTTGGAAAATTTAGACAACAAATGCATTCCTTGTCAGTGACATAAAACAGCAATTTTCAATTCATCTCACAGCGCACATAAACTAATTACTAAAATTTTGTGGCACATTAAAAGTATTTTTTGCTAGTCTGACAAAGGAAAAATAGGTATAATTTTGATTGATTCATATCAGATGGTAATTGTGTTGGCTATTGTAATTTTTTTATTTGACAATCTAAGGGAAAAGAGGTCAGAAAACACATACATAATTACATATTGTTTACAGTAGCAAAATTACAGTTATGAAGTAGCAATGAAAATAATTTTATGCTTGGGGGTCACCACAACATGAGGAACTGTATTAAAGGGTCGCAGCATTAGAAAGGTTGAGAACCACTGCCTTAGGGTATTTTGAAGATTGAGTGAAGGAAATCACGCTGGAAGTTTAGGTATGACCTCATGGATCTCAAAGCAGGTTGCTTGGAGTTTGAATGGTGAGAGAATAGGGGAAGCTTGCTCCCTTCTTAGATGTACTTTTTCAAATTTTTATCTCATTTCTGTTTAAATTTCATTCTTTTTGGTTACAGGTTAAGAAATATCCTCTCAGTGGTCGGTACTGATGCCTTAAAAAAAACTAAAAAAGATGATGAGAAATCTAAGAAGTCCAAAGAAGAGGTAAAGACCTTCGTAATGTAAACATGAAAGAGATGAGGGGATAGTTTTCTCATTTTATGTTTTCAGTGGTTTGCTTTGCTAGGATTGGGGGTTGGAGGGTTGAAGACTCTACCATTCAGGAATCGTTGTTGGGATTAAAATATGGTTTCTGTGTAGATATAAATGGAGATTAGTGAGTTTCCCATTCAGGAAAGAATATAGCATTCCTGGTGTAACTTTTAACAGGGAATCAGAAGCCATCTAACAAGACCTCACAGAAAGAAACAGTAGAAAGCACATGCCTGATTTCATCCTGTTACTGAACTAATTCACCTTTATTCTGGCAGTTAAAATAGGGAATTGACAGCTACAAGTGGGGGCAGGAATGCTCAGACTTAATATTTCTTTTCTTAATTTAACTTCCAGTATCAGCAAACCTGGTACCATGAAGGACCAAACACCCTGAAGGTTGCTAGACTATGGATTGCTAATTATTCGCTGCCCAGGTGAGGAGAGCCTCTAGGAGAAAGAAGCATATTCTTGTTTCTTCTCAGGGACGGAGGACCTGCTTTATATGACTGGTTGTTAAAT